TAAGCCCATGATGGTGAACCTATGGCATGCGTGCCACAGGTGGCAAGCAGAGCCCTCTCTGTGGGCACACGAGCTGTCACCCCAGCTCAGCTCCACCCTGCATGCAAAGTGCCTCACGCCAACCAGCTTATTTTCGGGTCTCTGCCACACATAGGAGAGATGTGAGAGATGTGCGCCCATGTGCGGGGGCAGGGAGTCATGCGTGCATGTGGGGGGGGGGGCAGTATGTCCCTGGCAGCTCATGTTTGGTCCCAGGAGGCGGCAAGGAGGCCTACTAGGCCCAAACAGGACGCAGGGGGGAGCATGGACGTGTTGGAGAGCTCAGGGGGTCACACTCACATGTGCAGGGGGTGTGGCACGTGGGGGTGGGGGGGGATGTTTCAGCATGTGAAGACAAAAAGGTTAGTCATCACTGCCCTAAGCAATACCTTGAAGCAGTATTTCTCAACCTTGTCTCTGCTTTAAGATGTTTGGACTTCAACTCCCAGACTTCCTCAGCCAATAAATGGTTGGAAGTTGAAGTCCACACACCTTAAAGTTACCATGGTTGAGAAACACTCCCCTAGAGGTATTTTTCTCATCTTTCTCTGAGGAGAAAAGAGATGTGGGTTTACAAAAAGACATTTCCTGTAGGTTTATGATCTGTATCGTGTTATATAATGAAAATATCTATTTTCCTTAAATAATTACACTGGATGCTTAGGGCATCAGGAATGTTCTTCACCCTTCTTATATACTCTGCTACCCTAGGTACCATGGCTAGATTAGGGCAGAAGTAGATTTTAGTGCATATCATAGTTCTTGGAGCCAGTTGGCATCCATATTCTCAACAGGAGATGTGCCTGGCATTGCTGCTGATTTTGGCACTCCACACTTTTTAGCCATGGTTACGCAGCAGGGAAGAGAGCTAAGCAGTAAAACTTTCAAACAAACCTGTCATTATTTACACAAGAGGTTTACACAGTACAAGTACTGCTGAGATGTACTTCTCACAGAGTGAAATAGAGATACCCCATTATTCAGATTTTATTGCTAGTTCTGAATGTATTAGGTGAAGGCAGTTTATGGAAATATGATTGGCTTGTTAGAAACCAAGTTGCAACTAATCATTTTTCAAAATATGTTCAGGTATAATAGGATTTCCTTCAACAATTAAGTCATCAATTCTATAAAACCCTCTGCCTCCTCTCTCATTATATTTGATCAATTTATCTTCACATTTTAAAAGATCAAAAAATGACAGAAAGGAGAAGAAGTCAAATATAATTTACATCTTTTTCAAAATTCACTTTTCAGTATGGATTTCAAGCAATTGACATCAACTTCTGAATGTTGGGAAGGGATGGAATTATCTGACAGACAGTCCAAAATCTGTATTCACTGAACTTTAGTTGAATGCCTTGCAGTAAATGAATTAGAAATTGTAGCTGAATGATACCAAATAAACGTTTCAAATATGGTGTGCTCAAAACTCCCATCATGTCAGTGTTGTTGTTAAGTGAATCCAGCATTTACTTTTCTAGAAGCCCTCAGTGGTTGCAGGCTGACTCTGCCCACAGCCTGGAGTTCGATCCTGACCAGCTCAAGGTTGACACAGCCTTCCATCCTTCAGAGGTCGGTGAAATGAGGACCCAGATTGTTAGGGATAATATGCTAACTCTGTAAACTGCTCAAAGAGTGCTATAAAGCATTATGAAGTGGTATATAAGTCTAGTATATATGCCCTTGCTGTGAGTTGCCTACTCTTAGGTTTTTCAGTGAAGACCGAGGAATGTTAAGTTTATTTCATTCACATATCCGCCTTCTATAAATTAATAGAGTTAGAAATAGTGAAAATGTCTACCTGGGGCCTCATTCAGTTTAATGTGAACAACTTTTTGTGATTTTATATGCAGTTTAATACAACTCCTTTCTTAAGAGCTAGTCTGCTTTTTTTGGTGCGTATTTTGGCATGGAACATTAATCCTTCTACATCTGATTAATTATGCTGTTGCAATCCTCCTCTTAAATTCCTAATTTTAGCTGGCTAGAGAATTAGGTCAATTTAAGCTATTGGAAAGGCTTTTTTCTTGGTGGACCCTGATGCTAAGATGTTAAAGTGCTTTTCTTGTTTTCAAGTTGTCACAGTGATCCTGCAACTGGGTTTAATTTCTTCTGTAATTAGAGATAAATTGCAGTGCAGTCATTTGTTTGCAATTAGAAATGAGGCAGAAAAAAAGGAAAGATGTACAGTGATCCCAACATGAAATATTTGTGTTCAGCTATGTATGCTTCTTTAGGAAGATTGCAAAGGAATCAGATACGATATTTGACCCAGCACACAACTGAAAAGCTTAGCTTTTCTTTTAACTAGCTGAAACAACTTCTATTATCCCCATCCCTTGTTGCAGAATTATACTTGGAAATATATGACAAATACCTGCTGAATTCCTAGTAGTCAAAAATAATAAAATGTTTACTTATTTAATCAATTTATATATGGTATCCTATACCAATAATTAATTTAGGAGTTTCAGAGCTTTGCGTAGTGCCGTATTTCTCCATGTTTCAAACCAACTTTTGCTAAGTGTACACTAAGTAGTATTGATACAGAATAAAGCATCCAGATTAAGAGGAAATATTGCAGACCTGTTTTAATGTATATGCATTTCATAATCTGAGCTGCTTTGCTGCAAAACTTTACTGTATGCAGAATAACTACAGCCATGATACTATATAATTTCATAAGGGAAATGCAAATCACCCTTTCCCCAACCTAGTATCTTCAAGCATTCTTAACTTGGGTGTGAATGATGAGAATTGTTAGTCCAAATGCATTTGAAGGGCAACAGGTTAGATAGGATTGGTTTAAAATAATGATCTTGTCCTGTGGTGGATTTGCCATCAAAAATCCTGAAAAACCTGCTGTGAACATTACTTCTATTACTTGTTACAGTACGATATACTTTATTGATTAGTCAATTGACCATATCAAAACATGAGCATTAGTCACAGTAAAATAAAATAAAATGAGATAAGATCAGGTACAGTGAAGTGAGATAAAATAGTTTTGGTGAGATAAAATAGAATAAAATACAGTAGGAAAGATAAAATAAAGATAAAAGAGTGTAAGCTAAAATAAAAGAAGAATATCACTTGTTTTATTGAATTAACACAATAGCTCACATATTTTCAAACCGTGTTCCTTTACTTTACAGGTAATTGCTCAGCATCAAAATCTCCTGATCGCTAAACCCAACAACACAATCAACTACACTTTGCTAAGCAATGACAATGCATTTCTGAGTTACCATCCCTATTACTTCACCCAGAGGACCCTTACGGCACGCTTTCAGATGAATAACACAAAGCCCCCCCACATCCAGATGGTGAGGAAGCCTGTGCTGACAGTAATGGGCTTGCTGGCTTTGCTAGGTACAACACTCCTCCCCCCCCCCCATTCATTTTAACAATTGCTAGTCACACTGTCAAATCAAGAATCCAGGCAGTTCAAGGAATTACTATTGGTCAAAGCAAATTGGTGGCGGATAAGAGTCAATGGAATTCAAAGTGGGCTGGACTGAGAACTCTTGTGGGCACGAAGGGATTCAAGACTGATGATGCATTTGACTCCTTCCTCAGGCTCAACCTGGACATCTCCTAAGCACACTTAACTATTCCTGGAAATGAAGTACCTTGTGTTTGATAAAGAAGTATATTATGTTGACCAGCTGATGTTAATTCAAATTCAAACTGGGAAATAAGTCAATCAGTATCATGACTCCTTAAAATTTCATACCTATTACCACCCATAACATACTGGGAGAAAAAATAGTGTGTGGTAGTAAGTAATAGGAGTTTGCCGTCTAACAGCAAATAATTAATGATTAAAACACCAGTCTGGAAACCAGGAGACTGTGAGTTCTAGTCCTGTCTTTGACACAAAAGCCAGTCACTCTTTTTCAACCCAACTCAATTCACACGGTTGTTTTGGGGAAAATAGGAGGAGGAAGGAGTAGTAGGTATGTTTGTTTGCCACCCGGAGTTATTTTCCAGAGGAGGGGGAGGGAGTGGTCACGTGTGGGTTTTATCTTAGCCTGATTGGTCCAAAGACTGAGAGCAAAGCTATAAATACTGGTGCCTTCCAATCCTGGCCCAGATTCTCTCAGTCTTTGGTCCAAGTACTGTTAGAAAAGTATTTAGGTAGGATTTTTCCTTTTTTGGTTGATTGCAATCTGGTTCCTATTTGGGTTAATTGGGCACTTTAAAACTTTTCTCAAAAACTCTAAATTGTACTGCTGCGGCCCCAAGGGACAGATCTCTGCCTCGGGCGGCTGGGGAGGGCCCTGTGGGGTGTTTAGCCTCTCCCCCCGCGGGCCAGGAGCCTCAACCCTATTCCCGGGAGTGCGGGGGTGCCAGCTCCGGTTTCGGCTGCTTCCGAAGCAGCTCCATTTGCAGCAGCGGTGGCAGGAGTGGCTTTGGTGCCACGTGGAGCGCGCGAGCCACCCGCTGCACAGCTGATCGCCCCGGGCGGCTGCCGTGCCGCCGTATTTGATTTGATTGCTGTAGGGGCCGA